ACATAATGTTATTGTATACTTAACAGGCTACAATACAGTGTAAACAACTTTTATATGCACTAGGAAACAAAAAACTTCATTTGACTTGCTTCACTGTGATATTCACTTTATCACAGTGGTCTGGAACTGAACACACAACATCTCCGAGGTATACTTGTAAATAGAAAGCCATATTAGTTTGAGACTATTGACAAACTAACTGTCCTGACTTGCAAATATTTCCCAAGTTTGTCATTTGTCTTTCAATTTTATGTATTTTGGGATACACAAGCTCTTACAATTATTGATCTCCTTTTTATATCTTCCCTTTTTTGGTCGGGGAGTGCCTCAAGTCTTAATCTTTTTTCTTTAACACTAATCATTTTTTAAAATAAATTTTTATTTTGCAAAAATTTTACATATACAGAAACTTACCTTTAAAAAGTTCGGTTGAGGTATAATTTACATACCATAAAATCCATCCACTGTAAGTGTAGAATTTAATGATGTTTAGTAAATTTACAGAGTTGTGCAACTATCATGACAATTGAGTTTTAGAGTATTTTCATTGCTCCCGAAATATACCCCATGCTCATGTGCAGTCACTCCTCATTTCCACCCCAAAGGCAACTACTAATCTACTTTCTATCTCCATGGATTTGCCTTGCTGAACATTACATACAAATGGAATTTTGTGGTCTTTTGTGACTGGCTTCTTTCCCTAGCATAGTTTTTTTTTTTTTCCCCAAAGAGAGAGAGAGAAAGCACAAGCTGGGGAGACAGGCAGAGGGAGAGGGAGAAGCACACTCCTTGCTGAGCAGGGAACCTGATGCCCGGCTTGATCCTAGGACCTTGAGATCATGACCTGAGCCGAAGGCAGACACGTAACCGATTGAGCCACCCAGGCGCCGCTCCTTAGCATAGTTTTTAATTCAACTTTTAAGTTTGATATTGTTGTAGATTCACATGCAATTTTAAGGAATAAAACAGAAGGATACCTTGAACACTTTACCTAGTTCTCCCAAAGGTACCATCTTGCAAAATGTAATACAACATCACTGCCAGGATACTAACACTGACCCAATCAAGAAATAACAGTTCCATCACCACAAGGATCCCTCATATTGCCTTTTATAACCATACCCACCTTCTTCCTCCACTCTATGTTCCTAACCTCTGGAAATCACTAATCTGTTCTCCATTTCCATAATTTTGTCATTTTAACAATGTCATATAAATGGAATCACACAGTATGTAATCTTTTGGGATTGACTTTTTAAATTTAGCATAATATCCTTAAGATTCATCCAAGTTATTGTGTGTTATCAAGAGTTTGTTGCTTTTTACTGGTCAGTAGAATTCCATGGTATGTATATACAATAGATGAACAATTCATCTATTTAAAAAATAAAAAAAAGAAATCAGGGTTGTTTCTAATTTTGGAGTATTAAGAATAAAGATGCTATAAACATTAGTGTTCAGGTTTCTGCAGGGACATAAAATTTCATTTCTCTGGGGTAAATGCCCAAGAGTGTAATTTCTGGGTTGTATAGTTATTTTTTAAGAAACTGACAAATTATTTTCCAAAGTGGCTGTACCATTTTACATTTCCAACACTACTGTATGAATGATCCAGTTTCTCCACATCCCCCCAGCATGTGGTATTATCACTATTTCTTTTTATTTTTTGAGAGAGAGAGCATGTGTATGCATGCAGGGGAGGGGAGGGGCAGAGGGAGAGGGAGAGGGAATCTTAAGCAGGCTCCACCCTCAGCACAGAGCCCATCTCGGGGCTTGATCTCACGACCCTGAGATCATGACCTGAGCTGAAATCAAGAGTCAGATGCTTAACTGACTGAGCCACCCAGGCACCCCATCACTATTTCTTATATTAGCCATTCTGATAGCTGTGTAACATCTCATTGTGGTTTTAATTTGCATTTCCCTAATGGCTAATAATATTGAACATCTTTTCATGTATTTATTTGCTATTGTATATCCTCTTTAGGGAAATGTTTATTCATGTATTTTGCCTATTTTTTAATTGGATTGTTTGTTTTTGTGTGTGTGGTTTTTTTTTACTGTTGAGTTTTGAGAACTCTTTATATACTGTAGATACTAGTCCTTTACTGAATATGTGGTTTGCAAACATTCTCTTCCAGCCTGTAGTTTGTCTTTTCATCCTATTCACATGGGCTTTCTTCCAGTTGGCCAAAGTTTTTTTTTTAAAAAAAACACATTTATTTTAAAATTTTACATAATCTTTGGGTAATTCAGAATTAGATTAGGCATGTTTCAGAAGCTTCTGAGATTGAGGTCTCTAAACCAATGTGAATAGCTTATGTGATTGGTGGAAGGATTGTGGGACCTCATGACACAGGATGAATAGATGGCTACTGATGAAGGCAGAACCCCTTATGGATAGGGACTTTCCTGTAGCACTCAGTTATCATTTTTAAGTTATCTGTCACAAATATTAAATATGTCACCAAACCAACAATACCCCTATCTCATTTGCATTTTACTTGTTTCCATGTAGAAAAAACACAGAATTAAAAATTCTGTAGACCAAGAATCACACTTAAATTAATCTGATCCCTTATATTAATAATAACAATTAAGAGCTAGCATCTACCCAGTGTAGTCTCAGTGTCTACACCAACACCTATCTCCTGTTGATGGAATGCCACCTTCCTCTCACTCAGTGTTTGTGATTCAAAGATTGCAATGAGTGCCTCCATCAGAACACGAACCAACCCAGATGGGTGCCTGGCTAGCTCAGTCAGTAGAGCATATGACTCTTGATCTTGGGGTTGTGTGTTCAAGCCCTACATTGGGTGTAGAGATTATCTAAAAAAAAATAAGCCGGGAATTCATGGGCCCAAAGAGGTGGAAAAGACTCACTCCACACAGCAGTAAGTGGCCCAAGTGCTCCACCCATTCCCAAGCAGAATCAGGCCTGAGTTGCAAGGAGCGAGGAGGAGGAAGGGCGCGTTCTGCACCCTCCACTGCCTTGGATGGTTTCCTGGGTGTTCCAGGCAGGGTAGTTATTGTCTCCCAATAGGATAGTTAATTCTCTGAGGACAGGACCCCCTCTCTGGCCTCCCTCAAAGCAAGGTCCTCCTCAGGTGTGAGCACAGAGCAGGTCCTTAATGAAGGAAGGAAGGAAGAAAACCACAATGTACTGAGCACCTGCTATGTGCCAAGTACAGAACCAGGACAGATATTTCATGTGACCCTCACAACAGTCCTGATGTAGGCTCATCACCCCCATTTTACAGATGAGGAAACAGTCTCAGGAGAATTCGCCCATGGTGGAATAGCTAGTAAGTAGGGGATCATCAATTTGAAAACCCAGGGCTTCTCCCTTCAGGGCTCCTTCTACTGCTTATATAAGCCAAGGGTTTAGGGCAGCAAGTGAGTACTGCAGCTCCCAGATGGCTGGTCTGGAGCTCACACTTAAGAGGCCCTTGAACACATGGAGTCCAGAATCCTGGGTCTAGGATCCCTGGCTCTACAGCATTACTTTCTGACCCTATGTGAGTCCTTTACTTTCTCCACACTGGGGGCCGGACTACTCCAATGTGCTTCTCCACTGGGGGAGGGGGTAGCAAAACTACCTGGAAGCATGTTTGCAGACCGTGGTGGCAAGACCTCTGTCTGGAGACTCTGACGTTGCTCCCTTGCTGGAGGGGTGGAGGGCACGGCAGTCTGATAAACATTGTGAGAATCAGTCATGATCTCTAAGGCTCTGACTTCTGAGAACGACTAAATTCTAGGGAACCACATCCCCACTCCCTGAGAGACGTTCCACAAAACGCCCATGAAGGTCAAAAGAAATTGTCAGGTCAGGATACTCAAAGTAGAAAATGCTTAAAAGCAATTTGAGAGAGGGGAAAACTACTACTTTCAAAGGGAAAAGCAAGATTGGCAGTCAGGAGGGGGTAGGGTGGGCATCAACAGGGAAGCAGTGGACACGGTGGGCAAACCCAGCTATAGGGTAGGGTCTGGCCAGGGTGAGCCTGGACAAATCCGGTTTTTGGCATCTGGCTTGCCTAGTGTGTGCCATGGGGCTGTACTTGCTACCTCAGACAGGGCTAAGGGTTTCCTCAAAAAATAATTTGAGCCTTTAAGTTCAGGCAGACCTTAGAGAGTAAATACGGGCAACAACGGCAGAAAGGAAAACACAATTCAAATGACTCAAATATCTGCTTGACATGTTTCTTCTCTTCCTCTAAAATTTCCTCCACAGCCCCAGCTCTGTGAAGCCCTCTCCAGCCACAGACACAGCAAGTGTATGGCCCCTCCAAGTGTGCTGGCCTCTCCACAACACCTCCCTCCTCCAACCCTGTGTAATGAACACACTGTATCCTCCCTGTCTCTCTCCCACTGAACTATGAGGAACTGGAGGATGGTACCCTTCTGTGCCTCTCATCTCCATATGGAGATGGCTATGGGTTCATCAAGACCCTTTGCTCATAAGCACCCAGGCTAAGGATCCACCAAACCAGCCAGACAGACAGAACACCACCTTTCCCAGGGGCATGGTCCTTGGGGGCAACTTTGTTCTGGAGGAATTGAGCATGTTTCCTATGTCCTGTACCACTTACTGGCCCCCCAGAGCCACCCTATACCAGGGCACAATCATAATTTGGGAGAATTTAACACATGAAATCAGTGTCTAGGTGCAGATTTCAAGCAATAGAGAGTGCTGGTTTGTGGGAATAACATTCCAGTGGGGGAAAACAGCCCAGCTTTGGCAGCCCTGGTGGGAAAGGTGGAGCTTGCATTTACCTGTGGAAAGAAAGCTAGGTGTGTGTGTACGTGTGTGGCCGGAGGATTTGGGCTCGCATATCTCTGCAGCTACAGGGCAGGCTGGACCTGGCTGCTTGCTTTTGGGCTCCTCGAGCCTGGGACTCTTGCTGACAGAAAGCCCACAGTGCAAGCTGTGATTATTCAGGAATGTGGTCTGCCCAGGCTTGATGGAGAAGGGCAAGGGGACCTGACCAGGGAGCCCATGCTCAGCAGCGAATTCTCTGGAAGCCAGGCAGTGTAGTTTTGCCAAGCAGGTAAATGTCCTTGTCTGTGCCCTGGTTGAGGTGCTTCACCAGATTCTTCTCAAAGAGGAGTGGGTAGTAGGCACTCACCGTGCAGGCACTGCCAAAGAACTTCTGGTAGTAGTAGCACACATTGGTCTTGCACTTGGATGGGAGGAACTGGTAAATGTCCACCTGGTCACACAGCATCCCAGAGGATGGGGGATTTGGCTGAATCTCTTCTGTGGAGACTTCTTGAATGATGTTCCACAGCTCCCAAGGCATCTTAGGCTTGAGGATATAAAAGGGCTGATCAGGATGCAGCTTGCAATACCTCTTATAGTTCTCAAAGAAGCTGTAGTCAGGGCTCCGGTTCCACTTTGGGATATCTGAGTGGCAAACAGATGGGTCCCACACAATTAGGAATCCCTCACTGTACAAGCTGTCTTGAGGAAGTGCCCTGACGAGGTGACCAACTGAGAGTCCATCAGGCGAAGGGTAGTTTTTGTGCCCACATTTTGCTGGAAATTGGTTGTGGGTGCCCCATTAAACCCTGGGACTGCGTCATGATCATCTATTTCCTGGCCCATCTGGGAGGACTTCAGAGATTCTGCTGATGAGATAATAGCACACCTGCCCCATGGCCCAGCCTTGGTCCTAATGTTCTCCTTGGGCAGGAAACCCTCCCATTTGGAAATGTTGAAGGGAAAATCTACAGCCTCTACTATGGATATGTTCACAGGGTCCCAGAGGTGGCAGTGCAGGGCCTCTGCACTGAACTTGACCCCCGGCCCTAGCCCCTTGTAAGACACTTTATATTTCTTCATGTTCAGATAATTCCTCCAGATTTTCTGCAGCCTGGTGATAAAGTTTTTGGAAGAGCTGTTCTTGTTCCACACTTGGAAGGAGGCCTGTGGCTTGGCCTTTGCTGGGCCCCAGGGCCTGTTGGCCTGGCTGCCCCTGAGGGATTCTGGGTGCTTCTTGAAGTCATAGACCATTTCTCCAAACTTCTCAACATCTGGAATTCTTTGGTTTGCAATTTAAGGGAATCATAGTAACTCCATTTCTTCTTCTCCTGCCACACACAGATGACTGCAAATAGGAGAAAGGCCAGCACACAGCAACTGAACTTTCTCTTCAAGTTGGTGTAAATCATAATGAAAGAGGCATTCAAGGCAGCCACTCTGTTCCAGAGCAGGAAAACAAAACTGGTTTTTGGCTAAGCCCCCTGGGGCTGCAGGCCCTTCAAGTCCTCAGGAACCAGCACTATTCTCCATGGGAGGAATGTTTACTTTATTGGGCCTGGAGGCCAATGTTCATTTATCTCAGGATGATCAAAATTCATCTTGATGTTTCCAGGGCCAAGGTCAGTGCCTGTAGCTCAGCTCATGTGCCAAATAAGCAAACATTTTCTTCCTGCAAAGAAGGTTCTCCTTAGCCCAGGAGTAGGGGCACACATCCAGCCTGGGATCAAAGCATTCGTGGATGAGGAAGACCTCAGTGCTGGGACAGAGGCTTGGCGCCAGGGCTTGGGCCCACTCAAGGAGACCAGTTCATTTTCAGCTGGGCTCCAGGACTTCACTGCTTCTCTCTGGGCTGCTTGCTGCAGAGCTCTGCACAATTGGCTTTACCCTGCTTGCTGCACCCTTGACCACCTGGGCTGCAGCCGCTCCCTTTGTAAGCGCCAGGTGGCTTCCCAGGCCTGGCCCTGTTACCCCACTCCCCTCCCCCAGGTACCAGCCAACTCTATGCCCTGCAGCCACAAGGGCGCCTGGTGCCAGGCACCAAGTCCCGGCAGGAGGGTCTTCTGGGGAGGAGTGGGGAACCTGGGCTGAGCTGGGGATGGGACGGTGAAGGAGGGAAGAAAAGAGCTCAACTGGCAAAAGTTTTTAGTTCTAAGGAGGTCCAATTTATTAATTTTTCCTTTTATGAATTGTGCTTTTGGTTACAAGTCTAAGAACATAAAATCTTTAAAAGATCAGTTAAGTGAATAGTGAGAAAAAGTGTATTTATACAACTTTTTATATTTGCCTATGAAATTACCTTTACAGGTGGTCATTACTTATCCATTTGGTGTCATTGCCTTTCAGTCCAAAGGACATTTTTTTTCTGTTTTACATGTTTATGTACTGTTTTTTTAATTCTAATTCCAGCATAGCTAATATAGTGTTAAATTAGTTTCAGGTGTACAATATAGTGATTTAACAATTCTATTTACTACTTACTGCTCATCAAGATAAGTGTACTATTAATCCACCCATCCCCTCACCAACCTCCCCCTTCTGGTAACCATCTGTTCCCTATAGTTAAGAGCCTGTTTGGGGTTTCTTTCTTTTTGTTTTGTTTCTTAAATTCCATATATGAGTGAAATCATATGGTATTGGTCTTTCTCTGACTGACTTATTTAGCATTATACTCTCTAGCTCCATCCAAGACATTGCAAATGGCAAGATTTCTTTATTTTTTCTGATTAAATAATATTCTATTGTATATAAATACCACGCCTTTATCCATTCATCTATTGATGGACACTTGGGCTACTTCCATAATCTGGCTATCACAAATAATGCTGCAATAATCATTGTGGTGCATATATCACTTTGAATTAGTGTTTTGTATTCTTCAGGTAAATACCTAGTAGTATGATTATTGGATCATATGGTAGTTCTATTTTTAATTTTTTGAAGACCGTCCATACGGTCTTCCATAGTGGCCGCACCAGTTTGCATTCCCACCAACAGTGCATAAGTATTCCTTTTTCTCCACATCCTCACCAACACCTGTTGTTTCTTGCGTTTTTGATTTTAGCCATTCTGACAGGTGTGAGGTGATATCTCATTGTAGTTTATTGTAGTTTTGGTTTGCATTTCCCTGATGATGAGTGATGTTGAGCATCTTTTCATGTATCTGTTGGCCATCTGGATGTCTTCTTTGGAGAATGTCTATACATTTCTTCTGCCCATTCTTAACTAGATTATTTGTTTTTTGGGTGTTGAGTTGTATAAGTTCTTTATATACTTGGGATACTAACCCTTAATCAGATATGTCATTTGTAAATATCATCTCCCATTTGGCAGACTTCCTTTTAGTTTTGTTGATAGCTTCCTTTGCTCTACAGCAGCTTTTTATTTTGATGTAGTCCCAATAGCTTATTTTTGCTTTTGTTTCTCTTGCCTCAGGAGACATATCTAGAAAAAAGTTGTTATGTCTGATGCCTGTGCTCTCTTCTAGGATTTTTATGGTTTCAGGTCTCACATTGAAGGACATCATTTAATACTTCCTATAATGCAAGTGGTAGCAATAAATTCTCTTAATCTTTGGTTATCTGGCAATCTATTTATTTTACTTTCCTTTCTATTTTATAGGTTGAGATAAAATTAACATACTATACATTTTGTGTATTAAATGGGTACAATTCAGTTTTTTTTAGTATATTCTCAGGGTTGTATAACCATCACCACTATCTAATTCTAGGACATTTAACTCACTCCCAAAAGAAACCTTGTATCCATTCACTCTATATTTGCCCCTCTCTTAAGACCCTGGCAAACACAAATCTTTGGATTTGCCTATTCTGAACATTTCATATAAACAGAACTGCATGATATATGTCCTTTTGTGACTGGTGCCTTTCACTTAGCCTAATGTTTTTGGGTGGTTCATCCATGCTGTAGCATGAATTAGTAGTTAATTCCTTTTTATAGTCGAATAACATTTTATTGTCTTAATATTTATTTTGTCTGGTATTATTACAGTCACTCCAGCAATCTTATGGTTGTTGTTTGTATGTATGTATTTTCCCATCTTTTTACTTTCCATCTATTTGTATCTTTGATTCTAACCTTTGTTTCCTGTGGATAGCATATTGCTGGATTTTGTTTTCTTACCTAATCTGACAATCTCTGCCTTTTGATTCGATTTTTAATTCACTCAAGTTTAATGTTATTATTGATTTGCACCTGCCATTTTGCTTTCTATGTATCTCATGTGTTATTTGATCCACTATTCTTTCCTTATTGTCTTCTTTCTTTTAAGTGGATATTTTCTAGTATAACATTTTAATTCCTTTAATAATTTTTAAATTACATATTTTTAAAGATTTTATTTATTTATTTGAGAGAGAGAGAGTGAGAGAGAGAGCCCAAGAGGGGGTAGGGTCAGAGGGAGAAGCAGACTCCCCGCTGAGCAGGGAGCCCGA